GCAGCTGCAGCCAGAGGCTTATTTCACAGTACAGCAGCAAGTGCAGAATCCAATTGGTCACTCTTGGGCAGACTAAATCATCTTTGAACAGGAACTGTTCATAAAGGCAGGATCAACAAAATCTTAATCAATTCTACTAATATAGCGTATCTATCCTAGTGTGCCTCACTGGGACCTCTCAGCTCCTTGCCATCTGTCAATTTCTTCCCCTTGATAAAGAGACCACATATTCCAACATATATTCCCCACCAGTGATCAAGAAAAATAAGGCTATCAGAAACATACTTTAAATTGCCTTAGTATTTGAGACACTTTGCTGTGATTATTTAAAAATCAAGGCCATTCAATGCACTATCCTATACAGACCATCCTCCTATTCATTTTGGTTAACATACCATATTTTAAAGCAGTAAGAGGTGCTAGATCGTCAAACCAAACAACTTGTACTGACCCAGGGTGTGCATGTACTACAACATTGTTCTGTCAGTGTGTCAGCTCTAGTTCAGCAAGAAATCACTAACCTCATTCTGTCCTCAGCCAAGGCTTAACCGAGGCTGGCAGGGATGTACTGGTGTACAATTCTGCACGCAAAATCCTTCCACTACAAGACATCAGCACTTCTTCATAAGCTGTTCAGGTACATTTCAGTCCAGGAAACAAAGCCACTCCATATCTCATCCTCTCCAGTGATAATATGAATTACCATCTTTATTAAAATAAAGAAACCAGGGGAGGAGATTTGGTTATCTTGCTAAGATCCAGCCTTAAAATTATCTCTGATTTTTAAAGGGAACAAAAAAAAGCAATTAGAGAGACTGTTCAGGCTTAACTAATTCTGATGTACCTTCAGAGGACAAGAAAAAAAAAAACCCCAAAAGCCAAAAACAAACAGCAAGAACAAAACAAACAAAAAAAAAAAACCCAAACCAGGACTATATCAATATGGAGAGAAGTGATACTCGTTTATATGCAGTGCTTCACTTCTGTCTCATCTGATATACAAGGAGGTAAAAGACTGCTTTTCAGTAAGAGAGAAGCTGCTCCTAATGAAGGGCTGTAACTTAGATGTACCAAGCTTCCGTAATACAGCTGCGCACCAAGACATTTCCCTCTGACAGGATCTGACCCAACTGAAACCTCAACATTACTTACTGCCAAGTTCGAAAGGGTAAAAAGGGTCCCCTTCAAAGACAGGTTAATGAGAAGGAGAGAGCACAATATATGCCAAGGAAATTGAGTTGTACTACACCTCCTTCAGTTACATGGAGCTACTTCACAAGTTGGTCTTTTGAGATGCAGGAGCGCTGGGCAAAATAATATAATGTGATATTTAAGGGATTTTTCAGATTGATATCTTATTGTCTAATATTGAATAGACAGTGTAGGCAATTTCCCACTAGTACTCTCATCATAAATTAAGTGTTCGCTCAGCCATATGTGGCCCTTGCACTGTATTCACCACTGTAACAGCCAGCACATTCTGTTTGTGCCATGTCTGGTTAGTTACGCAACTCCCATAACTGGAGAGAAACAATGGTTTCTGTATCCTGTGTAATTCATATTTAGAGGATTAGGTATAAAGTATTCATATTTATGCGTGTTATTGTTTACCATTCCCTGTTTCACGGAAAAAAATACAGCTAACCTAAAAAAAAAATAAAATATTAGCACTCAGCTATTGCTGTTATATTTATGGGCTTCACATACATTTCTAGATTCTTCTATTCTGAATGAAACACATCACATTTTTATGCACAGAAGTGTACAGCTTATCAAAAGAAGGTGCATTTGGATAAGAAGAGAAAAATTTATAAAACATTTGTTTGCCAAAAGTAATGTAAACATCTCCCCCCCGCCCCAAAAAGTGAAACCCACAGAATTTATATCAACATAGTATTTCATTCTGTAGTAGTTAGTCACCTGAGCAATTCCCACAGTAGGAAGTCAGTATAAAGTCCGTAGGACTAGACTCAGTGTCAAATTGAAGATAACACCATAAAAGAAGTTTATCAACTGCATATTGTTTTAGGGTCTAGGCTAACAGGAGTTATTCATTCTTTCTAATGAGAGCAATATTGCAATAGATCTTGTCTTTCTTTACTAGAGACTGGGTTCAATTAGATTAAGACCATAAAAAAAGAGAAAGAGTCACAACGGTGAGAAACAAGAGATAAACAACATTTGGAACAGTTAAGGAAGCACTGAGAACATGCTAGATAAATAGCTGTCTTGAAACTTAAAAAATATCACCTCAAGTATGAGAGAGCACATGCTATCTGAAGTCACTGCTAATCCGTTAAATTCCTATGAAGCAAAACAAAACCAAGTATTAGTGCTCACACTGGGTGACACCACAGGAATCTCCAAACTAGTCAATGTGTTAAGATACCAGTTGGATCCCATACACAACTAAAAAAAAAATAAAAACAAAAATACAAACGCACACACAAAAAAGAAACCGAACAGGCTCATATTCTCACCACGATGCAACAAAGTTAATTCTTCCCTTTTATCTTTGCCAGTCAGCCAGAATGACCAGTAAAGCATCCACAAGTGCCTTCAGTTCAGGTGTCTGTTCCTTGCGACTGTGATTTAAACAAACTGGCACTGCTCTGATATTCGCATCTTTCAAAAAACACAGTTTACAAAAGCCTGAATAAACAAGGCTGTGGAAAGCCACTGGGAGTGGTAAAGCAGTACTGGGCACTGTTGCTGATCTGCAAAATCAGCAGAATCTACCCCTCAAACATATCCCATGCCCATAAACTGTTTGTAGTAAGAGTATGAAGTAGGACAGGTTTTCATATCCTTTTGATTTAATGCCTCAGAACCAGCTGAATTTTCAGAAAGTCCAGTTTTTTCTGTTGGCATAACATGCTTTGTAAAAGCTTAGCACATTTCCTGGCTATCTTAATTGCTCATAAAGATTCTCAACAGTCAAGTGATTCTAAAAAATTAACAAAAGCTCTACTACATGCTAATTCCCCAGTTATTTTCTATTTCTGGTCAGTGCTTTTAATGCCAAGCATGAGCCAATAATAATATACATTGGCCAGAAGCCATCATTTTTTTAAAGCTTATTGTGACTGCAAGACAGTAAGTGGTATATCCCAAAGGAAAAGAGTGGGGAAAACATTGCTGAAAACTATCTGCTAACATCTATCCATACAAAAAGCACTTGCACTTCCAAAAGCATATAATCACTTTACAAAACACTCAAAGGAGCAATATATTGTTAGCCTTAGCTTCTGTAGGAAACAAATTCTTTACCTGTTCAACTGCCATATAGCCAGATATAAAAATAAACCCATGCCACATTTAAAGCTAATCTTGATACATCAGCATCTCATTTCTTGCGTCAATAAAATTCCAGATTTACTCAGTACGTAGTCTGACCTTGAGCAGTTAGTGGGAGATTTCTTTTAATCTGGGGGAAGTGTCTGATTGTGGTTTGTTGGGTTGTTTGGGTTGTTTTAATAAACTATGGATTAAGGCTAGGAAAATGGGTGCGGTTTGCAAGTTGTTTTCCAGACCTAGACCCAAATGTAGTTACCTTTACTGCATTACAAACTTTTATCCACAAGTAAACACACAGAGCCTTCTGCTTAAACAGGGATTCTATCTGCTGTAATACCAAATGCTTTTTCCCGTAATTTCTAACATTTACCCCCCCCCCCCCCATCAGCAGCACAATCCCTCGTAAACACATCTGTGGGCAATTAATTCACGTGTATAATCATATATCACAACTTGGTTCTCTAGAGGAACCTTACTGTTTAACTTTTGATGCTCTCTTTAGCTTGTCTCAAAAGCTTATTTGACCTGGGAATAAATTACTGGAGGTATTCTGACGTTTCATAGTTTGGGATACTCTTGGGGTTTCCTTTTTTCTCCCTGAAGTGATTTATTACTGAACTTAAATAATACCTCTTGAGGGTTTGTTGGTTTTTGTTAACAGAGGAAAGCAGTTACAGTTTTTGCCACATACACCATGAGTGCCTTTCAACTGAAAAATCAAAATGGGGTGGGAGTAGTAATGTTACCGTGTAGAACTGTTTGGCAGAACAAAGGCACAGAGGCAGGTAGAGCTCAGCTCAGTTTGCAGTCACCTGGTGAAGGACAGGACGTACCTACTCCCCCACAACACTGAAGGTGAGATCTGCCTGTCCGCACAGCTCCTTCCTTACACAATATTAGGCCAAACTAGAGGTAGGGTGAACCACTGAACCAAACCTAACCTCTCTGTAAGGCAGGTAGTCAGTTTGAATACTAGCACAGATGAAGCACAGATGTGGCACCATCCTTGGGTTGCTATTTAAACATGAGGAGCCCAATGGGCAATAAATTAAGCTTATTTACTTTCAGGTTTTTAACGAATAAATTTTAAGTCTCATTAAGATGGTTTTCTATTTTGACTATTTATTAGCTGTTAAGGTCATACTGCCCAAGCTTCTGCTTAATAAAAAGCCATGTCTTATGAAAATCCAGTGCCTCACTTAAGAATGAGTTTCTTCACCCTTCTGCTTCAGACCAGTTTCACAGGATGCTAACTCATTCCACAAATGAAAGTATGCCCCTCTGATTCACTCTTGCCTGCAAAACCTTGGAGGCTTTTCACACTTTGTAACAGCACACAATTTCTCTGTTCCAGGTTTAGCCCGTTTTTTGAGTTTTCACATTGCTCCTGTGCACTTCAGTTCTTTCAGCATAATTATACAAAGAATCTTTCCAGGAATCAAAATTATGTAACATTCATCAGCTCCAGCAGGATATTCCCCAGTAACAGGGAAACATTTGCTGAGTGACTCTCCCAGAGTCAGTTAACAGCTCCAGAAAGCAGTCTAGTAAATAGGTTGTCCATAAAAGCATGAATTCATATAACTGATATGTCTCAGGCTGTCTCTTAGGGCTTTGAAAGCCCTTATTTTTGGCGTCTGTATAACCACACTTTGTAAATGTCTTTCTTCACAGCTGACATGTTCTTTCTCTCTGCTGTACAGAAGTCGTGAACGAGAGCGACTCAGATAGTGAATTCCCCAACTACGATGATCACGGAAATGAAACCCATTTCTTTTTTTCACCTATTCTGGTGGCTGGAGTTGTGATTGGAATTGTGCTGTTTCTGTCCTGTATTACAATCATTGTTGGCGGTCTGCGAAAGGAAAGGCGGTTGAGACGCCAGCGTCCGAGAACAGATGTTTTTTATGGTAAGATCGTTAGTTACAGCAAGGTAATGTTAACTTTATTAATAATCTAGTGCTATAGGCAACAAAAGGCATCTGGCTGCTGTGCAAGGGATAAAAATATAATTTAAAAAATAGGATAAGTAGGTCACGGGCAGCTTTGTAGTTTAATAACATCCTTGTGCTGGCACTGAATTCACATAGTACAAGTTACATGCAAGGCCAATAAAATAGCATTTCTTAAACAGCTTATTTTCCCTTGATACAGTATAATATTTCTTCTCCATTGCTAGACTCCTGATAAGTTTATTTTCATATCCGATTATAGCCTTGGTACAGCATATAATGTAATCTGTATTTGTTGGAAAGCCAAGAATGTTTTAATTTCATACAACCTACAACAGTGACTGGGCCATTACTACTTCCCTGACCACAAGTTAATAACTAGATATAAACAGAACAACAGGGCATCAGAATGTCATTATAACTGTCATCATCATTAAAAAAGACTGGTTTGCTATAAGAAAGTGCCAATTGCTATCCCCCTAATTCCTCCCTCCACAACAAAACCCCTGGTACCTCAAAAGGATTTGGGAATAGGAAGGAGTTAATTACAGAATTCTATTTTTGGCCAATTTTGGGTTTGCTGACCAGAAGTTAAATCCGCTTTGTCAAGGAAATGACATGATCTGATTGTTTCTGTATTTAAGGAAAAAACAGTTACAAAAAGATCCTCTAAGTCTTCAGCTAGTAAAAATTCAAAAGATAAATGGGTTAATGAATTGAGTGGAGCAACAACAGTTATGTCATCTGTGGTTAGGCTCCTATATCTGCAGGTTTTGTGCTTTGCATATTGTTGAGGTTTTTTCTTTATGTAGATAACATAATAGTAGTGAGCTACATAAAAAAGCATTGGCTTCACTAAGGCAAATCAAGTATCCATTGAAGTCAGTCATTTAATTATTTGGACCAGTATTTTTGTGTCTAAAAGAAACACATTTCCTAGGATCAGTTTGTCCACCTGGAGCCAGGGATAGTTATTTTTGGCTTTTCCCGAAGCATTCATCTAGATAAATGATGTTTGTTTTAGGAACAACTTTTAGACTCAAAAAGAAGTGAAATGCAAACTCCTGTGGTAAAAAACGGGGAAAAAATGTCCAGAAAACTAATGCCTACTATTATTGTAACATCTATTTTTCCTATTTTCATAGCTAAATTTGAGATTAAATAGTTAAATGCAAATTGGCATTACTGGGTTTTACCCATGAACAGAAATATTTTGGCATGATAAAATAGCATTAAAATTCAATCATTACTAATTTCAGCCCCTTTAAAAACCCTGAAGCCAGGTGAAAACAATAGAGGACAATTTTCAAGCTACTCATTAGAACTGTCAATGCTAGAGAAACGGAAAAAGAAAACCGTGGTGATATTTTTAGGAAAATTCAAAAGAATTGTCTGAAAATAAATTGAGTCAGTCTACCTAAGTGAAAATTTTACATTAGCACAAGCTATCCTAATATCTTAGCACACATCCACTGGCCAGCATAGGAGCAGTGGGGGTCACTACGAAGTTGGCTTCCTTCACTCATCAAGCCAAAGGAAAGCACAGTGCATGACAGACTGGGTTAGTCCTGGTAAATTCTTCAAGAACACATGGGCAGAGGTGAAGGAGGAACAGGCAGTTTAAGTGAATCCTGTCCTCTACCCTCTGTTGAGAGAGACACTGCTATCTTTGATGTCATTTAAGAAGCTGGCCCTTCTCTCTGGGTAGTATTTTAATTCATCAAGTAAAAAGGAGGGATCACTTTATTTGGAAGACGATTGCAGAGTGCAGGAGAGCAGAGATTGCTGCATTTCCACACTTTGGGACATTCTTAGGGAAATTAACCCTGGAATGTTGAGCATTAGCTAACTATGCTCTAAAACAGAAAACAGCACTCACTTTTGTTTTTTGTGGAGCTATGAAGCTCTTGCATGGAAGCATTAAGAAAGGCCTGAAGTAGACAGGAGGATGATTTTCTCTACTATTTTCCATGGTTTCCACTTTTTGTGCTTTTATGAGAAAAGCTTTTTCTCAAGACACAGACCTATAATCAAACACACAGGCTTTCTGTTAAAAACCTGCAAGAACTGGCAAGGTTTCAATGTATCCAGCTCCTGGGAGCTTCAGCAATGCTGCTACTGTTAGAAGCTGCATGCAGCAGAACCAATGCTCCTTTTCAGCCTTTGAGGCACAAGAAAAGCTTTAGACACTTGCATCTTGTAGGGCAGCACTGAATATTTAGTGCCATAGCTGAAACACCATAGTTTGTCTACAGATTATGCTAATTTGCTCTTGAAAGGGTAGAGATGTCCTATGAAACCTGATTGTTCCAGAACACCACTAATTCCTCTGCCTCTGGTAGATTTTATTTTCCAATTTATGGCAGTGTTATGAACAGTGATATTGCCTCAGAGAAACCACAGAGGAAAAAAGCAGCAAGTATTTATTGCTTGTTTTCCAGCTCCAGATGGCTTCTCTTATGGTGGCTCTTTTGGAGAGCTGAGAGCCTCCTGCATAGAGGAGTATCCCCCAAATCTTGAGCTTGGTGCCAGTGTGGATACACGTCAGCGTGTGGTCAACGTCATATATTCCGATTCACCTCCACGGTAAGCACTTTTCTAAGAATGAGTATTACAGTCCTGCATGTACAAAGCTGGTTAAAGAAGAAACTGCTAGGCCTACACCCACTACAAAAACAAGCTCACACAAACTCTAAGTACAGACCTACCTTGTTTAGTTTGAGTACAAGTTTTCCCTAGCAGACTGTATCTTTACTAAAGATGTGTGTACAGCCAATTCTTATGTAGTAACATTCATATTAAAATTTACCATATTGATGACATACTAATGAAACGCACAAGTAAAATCACTTATTAACATATTTCCTTGAAAGAAGTTATTTTACAAGTCAAAGTTTCCCTTCCAGGAAAAAAAAAATACCTGTTTTTTTCCAGGATCTTCCAGGTTACATTTACTACTGACCTTGAGACTGTTCAGAGCAGGGAAAAACAACAAAAAAACAAACAAACAAACCCCACCCCCCCCCAAAAAAAAACCCAAAAAACCACAAACAACAAAAAGGGGGGGGGGGGGCGCAAAAGAGGGAGAAGTACAATAAACCTTCCTATATTTTTTAGCAAGTCAGACTTCTCAGCTTTCTTAGCTTTACTATTCTATCACAAAGCATGACTGAAGAAAACACACCTTTCTATCATACCTAGTAACTGTACTTAATATCCTAATTTAGGATAGGAAGGAAATTGCTTGGGATTGGTCATCTTGTATCAGTAATCTGCAAAGGATGACAAATACCATTTTAGCTGTTTAACCCAAACCTGCTCTGGAGAGCCATAGTTGCCAGGATTATAGTAGCATCTTCAGAGAAGAGCATCCTTCAAGTATCAGACAGTTCTGATTGCCTGGGAGGAAACATCACTATAAGAGGCTCTTTCCAAAGACACTTACTCCAGAAATTATATAGCAGCTCCTTCCACATTTGGGTGCCTGCATTCACACAATACAAGAATGGCTATTGTGAGAGGCAGGAGTTGTACTTCAGGCCATCTCTATCCCTTATGTATGCTGCTGCACCTTCAGCTTAATAAATGAAGGAGTTCAGTTACTCCCTCCACAGAATCAACAGAAATTGTTTTAAACAGAATATCACTTCAGGCTTTCTATACTGCTGTATCTTACAAACACCAAATAACGATTAAACAGCCATAACACACACACACACCCTCCTTTCTTTTTTTTTTTTGTTTCTTTCTCTTTTATTTCTTTTAAGCAGACTCTGATTTGAGTTAAACCAATGTATTCATAAGACCACCCCTTTCCCGACTGCTTGTATACACATGCAATATAGAGCAAGTCAGTAATATTAACATACAACATGTAGATCTTTGCTTTTTCAATTCCATGCATGGTCTAGAAGCAACCCCTTATTACAAAGTGAAACTATATAATAAATGGGCATTTAGAGGTGGTGTAAATATTTTAGCTTAAAGCTCACATGTGAAAAATTATTCTGAGCGTGGCATCTAAATTTGTAGAACTTCATATAAATCCACTTAGAAATTTATACTGTTTTTTGGACCCACATCCACAAGTCTTTACTAATACAAGCCTGCCAGCTGCCATCCAAGCAACAGCTTGAGGGGTAGTCAGACACATTTCTGAGAACAAGCTCTGAGAATTTCTTGAGCAGACAGGTCTCCTAAGATTAAACTATAGGTTGCTTCCATTTCCAGTTTGAAACAGAAACAAAGAAGGATTTTCTACCTCTGTGGAGTTCTCTGTTTGAAAGGAGATACTTGAATATTATAGGATAGCACTAGATAATCTGTGCTTCCCTATAAATTCTCCAGCTTCTTCTGCAATAAGCCTGGCACAAGTTAACAATCTTGTGTCCTGTCTTGTTCTAAGAAACTGTTCTGAGAACTCAGTACTAGGATCAGAGAGACATGAAGGTGTCCAACCACTGCTTCCTCAAGAGTCCTTGAGGGGCCCAACATCCAATTCGGCATGCACAAGGAAATACTTATCCCATTAATTGTAGTTCTGCATCACAGGTCAAATGTGCTATTTACTCACGGCTACCCAAGTTAAATATTTTCGAAAAAGTAATTTGGAAAAGTCATCAAAATCTTACTGTTTTATATCTTAGGAATACAACTTGGAGAAAACTTAAGGAAAAGCAGAGCTTAGCAGATGTCCGAAAGCAAAGCTACATAGAGACACAATTACACTTACAGATGATACATTATAAAGTCCATTGTAGCTTTCCGTTCAGAAAATCGTTCGTTAAAAAGCATTGTATGAATACACTGCATTATGTAAGAGCCTGAAAAATTTTGGCATAGCTACCTTTACAGTCCCCACAATGGCATAACCTAAGGTGTATTTTTTCTAACTAGTAGAGCATGGAGATTATTTGGACTGATGGGTGCTAACAGCAGGAAAACTGACTGCCAGACAGGGCCTTGAAGCAAAAACAAGACATGGTTAACCTTCTCTATTTAAAATATTAACTCACTGGGGTCAATCTTGTTACATGTGTTTTGAAGAGTATGTTTACTTAAATGTAGCACTGGCTATTCCTCCTTCAAATTCATGCAGTGCAGGATGTCATCTAAAGTTAAACTAGTATTCCCAAAAGCTAATAATGCAACTGTAGCATGAACAGAACAGGAATGATGAGCAGCAAGGAAAGCAGCTGCCTTGGCAAAATAACACTGAACATACTTAAAGTGAAGGAATTCAGGAGTGAAAACTAGTGTCCTGCTGCCCCAAACAGACACCAAGGCATTAACTTCATTTAACCACCCTGCTCTAATGCAAAAGGCCACAGTATTACAACACTGTGTACCAGGTGCTGCAGAGCCAAGTGTTCTTGAGCGTACTATTTTTGCTAAAATGCTACTTTCTGAAATGATTTAAGGAGAAAGCACACCATCTCTATTTGGCCAAGGTCATGATTATAATCAGTGTTGAATATTTTCATTAGATTTTATAGCTGGGCTTTAAACCATGAAATTAGTGGAAAAGGAAGTTTAGCAGAAGCCTGATGAAATACAGTCAAAGTTAACAGTACCCGTTTCTATGGCCAAGAGAGCACCAACTGTTCAGGTGTGCCCAGTTGAGAGAGTCTTGACTCTTCAGTTGAAAGTCCAGTACAAAATACTACTTGCATAAAAACTTTAATTGGAAAAATAATTTATGAAAAATGGCTTGGTATGTTAATAGTTTAACTGTGTTGATATCTAAATCACAAATTTCATTTGAGGCTCAATTTGGTTATCACCATAGACAATTCCACTAGCCACTTTCTTAGTGGATTTAAAGGAATACCATGCACTAAGGTTTGACATCAGCCTGCCACAGTTGGAATGTTGTTGCAGAGAAGCCATTTGGTCAATTTGTCTTGACAGCCCAAAATATCTATGCATAAACATCCCTTTAGGATAACTAATGATTTCCTAATGAATCTCAGATCTGTGTTAGCATTTGTCAGGTTGATTGTATATGAGGTGTAAAAGGGAAATATAAAAACAAAATACAGTGGGCATGAAAACTAAGCATTTTCAAGATCAAGTTTGATCAAGATGGCTGTGGTTGTCATTTTACATATCCCAAACACATGCTGTTGGCACTGTTTGGATAATACCTTTACAGATAGAAATCACAAGCTTCGTGCTTATGTTTACTGTGCCTAGAGCTCACTGTAACACAGACACTTATAGTTGGCTTTCCTAATTATCTTTTTATACATACATAATAAGAAAGCCGTTTAAAAATAATTTGATCTTACATATTTTAAATGTCTTGAAGTACAGTACCAATCAAGGACCAAGTAAATTAAAAACTATTGCATTTTCTTGATGTGAGTCTCTAAAATCCTAACACTAACGAGATTTGAGGTTCCCGGCACAAAAGGAATTTTATCAGCTTTTCACCTTTTGGGCAGAGGAAATGCATTTCACCCTACTCAACTGAGTGCTTTTTTACTCTTTAGTGATTGGATATTAATGGTATGTACAGAGCTGTAGGCAACCAAGGTTATCACGTTTTTCATCTGTGACTCATGACTGTCTAATACTGAACATCACTAAGGAATGACTCCTGAGCGAGATGGAGGGATTTAGCTTCAGGAATAGTTTTAATGGAAGCCACAAAAGCCCTCTCTATTTCACATTGAAATGTGTCCTGCAGGGCACAGTATGATAAAAACCTGTTAGTCACCCATTATCCTAGTACTCACATTAAAAACTTTTTGGGAAAGAGACTGCACAATTAAGTATGCTCACTCTACCTCATCTGGTCATTTTGCCCAATCTATATAGGACCAATTCCATAGAAAATTGTGTGGTTTAGGTTTCAGAAATTCCACTACTCTTAATACCCATGTTCAGTCTGTATTGTTTAAATGGGCAAATCCATTTAAAAATTAAAGTGACAAAAGGAAATGCTCGCGTCTTAAAGACAGGCCATAATTCCTCTCAAAATAGGAAAGCAAAAAAAAATAAACACACTACTTAAGGTACTTTCTAAGACATTTTTTCCCTCCCCCACTCCTGAGAACGCAAGCTAGCCATATCAGAGGGGAGAAGGCTTGAACCAGCTTCCCAGATTTTCCTGAATGACAGAACTAGGCTTTCTGGAAAGTAACTTAAAACTCACTATGTTGTGCTGTATTCCTTTGCCAAGGCCACTTTTCCTACAAGCATGCAGGGTTAGTAGTTTTTGGCACATTCCAATGACAGTTGGCAAAGCATAAGATGGATGTTTGTGGTTAAGTTCAGATTTCACTTCAACATCCTGAGACTTTTGGCCAGTAAAGTAAAAAATACTATTGGAAATATGACAGTTAAATCCACTGAAAATCATGACATGAGATAAAACTCTCAATTCTTTCAACTCCAAATTCTGAGCAGCTAGATCCCCAAAAGCTTCTCCCTTCACATCCTGTACCTACTCCTAATTAATACTATGTATAGAAACAAGTTGATTTCTTCTTGATTAGTTAGTTCCTTTCTGCTGTGAAGGCATTTTTATCCAAAATCTGCATTTCACAGCCCATCTAGTGAGCACAGGTAGGTTGTCTTAATGCCCGAGATTAAGCCAGCCCTTGGAGAGGTCAGATTCCAACAAGCGTATCCAGACTGGTACTTCAGATGTCTCTGGTATATCTCCAAACAGAGCCCTGCCCTAGTGAAGTTCTCAGCCGATGACACATCAGTGGCAGCACCATCAAGTTCTGTCCACTCTATGGACAGGTATTCCCTCAGATTGCCTTCACCTTGCTATTTTCTACTAACAGATCATCCTTCAGAGAGCCATTTCAGTCAGAGGAACATAGGCTTGAGAGGATCTTATGCAGGTACC